GGAGGTTGCAGTGAGCCGAGATTGCGCCACTGCACTCCAGCCTGGCAACAGAGCGAGACTCCAATCTAAAAATAACAAACAAACAAACAAACAAACAAAAAAACGAACCGGAACTAGACAATAGTTAAAACAGCAAAAACATATTGTACTCCAGACTACTGCTGTAGGGGAGGAGAGACCTTAGATTAGAACCGGGCTGAACTCTGAGTACAGCATGGGGGTTATAGCCAACGAGCGGAGTGGGGGGTGGTGGATGGAACATACCACGAGGAGGCATTGGGGGCTGGGGGGCTTCTGACAAGACTAACCTAACAGGATTCTTGCTGAAGGCAGGCTGAGGGGGTCGGACAGCACCTGAGGGAGGGTGGAGGATGAGGACCTGCATCAGGGATGGGGAGGGGTCAGATGCGGAGGATGGGGGGCTGGCTAAGCTGACTTAGCAGGATTGTTAAAACTGGACGATGCAGAGGTGAACATGAAGGCCAAGGACTCACTGGAAAAGAGCTGAGGGAGCCTGAGTGGGGTTTGGCCATAGACAGAAGCTCTGTCTCAGTAAGCCAATAAAAGTTAACTTCATTGATTTATTTAGAGACACTCTTCGCCAAGGCTGGAGTGCAGTGGTGCAATCTCGGCTCACTGCAACCTCTGCCTCCCGGGTTCAAGCGATTCTCGTGCTTCAGCCTCCCGAGTAGCCGGGATTATGGGTGCCTGACACCATACCTGGCTAATTTTCGTGTTTTTAGTAGGGACGGGGCTTTGTCATGTTGGGCAGGCTGGTCTTGAACTCCTGACTTCAAGCTCATTTTTTGTTTTTAAATTTAACTTTTTTTTTTTTTTTTTTTTGAGACCAAATCTTGTTCTGTCACCCAGGATGGATTGCAATGGCACAATCTCAGCTCACTGCAACCTCTACTTCCTGGGTTCAAGCGATTCTCCTGCCTCAGCCTCCCAAGTAGCTGGGATTACAGGTGCCCGCCACCACAACCCGGCTACGTTTTGTGTTTTTAGTAGGGATGGGGTTTTGCCGTCTTGGACAGGCTGGTCTTGACCTCAGGTGATCAACCATCTTCACCTCCCAAAGTGCTGGAATTACAGGCATGAGCCACCATGCTCAGCCTTAAATTTAACTTTTATTTTAAGTTCAGAGGTACATGTGCAGGTTTGTTACATGGGTACACTGTGTCATGGGGGTTGGACAGATTATTTGGTCGCCCAGGTCTTAAGCCTAGTACCCATTAGTTCTTTCTCCTGATCCTCTCCCTCCTCCCACCTTCTCCTCTCTGAAAGGCCCCAGCGTGTGTTTTTCCCCTCTATGCGTCCATGTGTTCTCACCATTTAGTTCCCACTTATCAGTCAGAACATGCGGCATTTGGTTTTCTGTTCCTGAGTTCATTTGCTGAGGATAATGGCTTTCAGTTCTGTCCATGTCCTTGCAAAGAATGTGATCTCATTTTTTATGGCTGCATAGTATTCCATGGTGTATATGTACTCCAATTTCTTTATCCAGTCTACCGTTGATGGGCATTTAGTTTGAATCATGTCTTTCCTGTTGGGAACAGTGCTGTGATGTGTCTTTACAACAGAATGACTTATAGTCCTTTGGGTACATATCCTTTAGTGGGCTTGCTGGGTAGAATGATATTTCTGGTTTTGGTCTTTGAGAAATTGCTGCACTGTCCTCCACAATGGTTTAACTAATTTACGCTCCCACCAACAGTGTATAAGTGTTCCTTTTTCTCCGCAACCTTGCCAGCATCTGTTTTGTTTTGGTTTTTTTACTTTTTCATAATAGCCATCCTGGCCAGGCGCAGTGGCTCACACCTGGAATCTCAGCACTTTGGGAGGCAGAGTGGGGAGGATCACGAGGTCAGGAGATCGAAACCATCCTGGCTAACACAGTGAAATCTTGTCTCTACTAAAAATACAAAAAAATAAGCTGGATGTGGTGGAATAAGCTGGATGTGGTGGCACACACTTGTAGTCCCAGCTCCTCGGGAAGCTGAGGCAGGAGAATTGCTTGAACCCAGGAGGCGGAGGTTGCAGTGAGCCAAGATTGTGCCACTGGACTCCAGCCTGGGCGACAGACCAAGTCTCCGTCTGCAAAAAAAAATAATAATAGTCATCCTGACTGGCATGAGATGGTATCTCACTGTGGTTTTGATTTGCATTTCTCTATTGATCAGTGATGTTGAGCTTTTTTTCATGTGATTCTTGGCTGTATGTATAGCTTCTTTAGAAAAGTGGCTGGGCATGCTGGCTGGCACCTGTAATCCCAGCACCTTGGGAGGCCAAGGTGGGCAGATTGCCTGAAGTCAGGAGTTCAAGACCATTTTGGCCAACATGGTGAAACCCTGTCTCTACTAAAAATACAAAAATTAGCCGGGTATGGTGGCCGGCGCCTGTAATCCCACGTACTAGGGAGGCTGAGGCAGGAGAATCGCTTGAACCTCGCGGGATGGAGGTTGCAGTGACCCCAGTGCACCACTGCACTCCAGACTGGGCAAAGGAGTGAAACTCTGTCTCAAAAAAAAAAAAAAAAAAAAAAAAAAAAAAAAAAAATCAGGCCAGGCACAGTGGCTTAGTCCTGCAATCCCAGGACTTTGGGAGGCGAAGGTACAAGAATTGCTTGAGCCTGAGAGTTCGAGACCAGCCCGGGGAATATAGTGAGACCCCCTCCCCCCCGCCCGATTCTACAACAAAAAATGTGCAAAAATTAGCAGGGCATGGTGGTGTGCGCCTGTAGTCCCAGCTCCTTGGGAAGCTGAGGCGAGAGGATTGCTTAAGCCTGGGCACTGCACCTAGTTTGAATTCAGTGGGGACAGGGGGTTAAGCTCTGCCTCCCCATCTGCTCTCAGGCCTTTCCCGTAGCTGGATGTGATCAACGGAGACAGCGCCCAGCCTCGGTACAGCTGGCTCTTAGTGGAGGGACAGGAACCATCTGGGGCAGAAGTGGGAGAGAATGCGGGGAAGGACAGCCCGGTGCAGTCCTCTCGGAGGGGAAGTGCGGTGGTGAGTGGGTGGAGACTGAGCAGCTTGGCTTGGGGAAGGAGACGACAGAGGGCCTGTTTCTGAGAGCTGAGCAAGCCAGGATGGCTCGCCTCCTTTTGCACTTAGAGCAGAAGTGTGCTGTGTGCGTGTGCATATGCGTGTGCGTGTACGTGTGTGTGCGATATATCAAACACCCTCGCGGGCTTTGTGTCCCTCTCAAGGGGAAGCCCAGACCACGGATGGCGGGTGCCCACGAGGCTGCAGGTCTTCTCTCTGCCGACAGATGGCGCTGTTGCACCACGCCTGGGTCTGCCTCTGCCCGGCAGCCGGGCAGGGCCCATCACGGGCTCGGCTCAGGGCGCGGGGGACCTTCACCATGTCCACCATCCTTATTTAAAAAAAAATGTTTGTAGCCGGGAGCAGTGGCTCATGCCTATTATCCCAACACTTTGGGAGGCCGAGGCGGGTGTATTACTTGAGATCAGGAGTTCGGGACCAGCCTGGCCAACATGGTGAAATCCTGTCTCTACTAAAAACACAAAATTAGCTGAGCATGGTGGCGGGTGCTTAGTGGGGTTCCTAGTAACCCCAGCCACTAGGAAGGCTGAGGCAGGAGAATCACTTGAATCCGGAAGGCGGAGGTTGAAGTAAGTCGAGATCGCGGCACTGCATTCCAGCCTGGGCAACAAGAGTGAGACTCTGTCTCTAAAAAAATAAAAATAAAAATTACATCATGGAGAATGGGGTGTCCATCCCCCCAAGCATTTATCCTTTGTGTTACAATCCAATTGCATTATTTTATTTATTTTGAAATGTACTTTTTTTTTTTTTTTTGAGACGGAGATTCGCTCTTGTTACCCAGGCTGGAGTGCAATGGCGCGATCTCGGCTCACCGCAACCTCCGCCTCCTGGGTTCAAGCAATTCTCCTGCCTCAGCCTCCTGAGTAGCTGGGATTACAGGCACGCGCCACCATGCCCATTTAATTTTTTGTATTTTTAGTAGAGACGGGGTTTCACCATGTTTACCAGGATGGTCTCGATCTCTTGACCTCGTGATCCACCCGCCTCGGCCTCCCAAAGTGCTGGGATTACAGGCTTGAGCCACTGCGCCCGGCCCCCCACTTTTTTTTTTTTTTGTAACCATTAACCTTTCCCACCTCCCCATCATCCTTATTATTATTATTTTTTTTTTTTTTGAGAGGAAGTTTTGCTCTGTTGCCCAGACTGGAGTGCAGTGGCGCGATCTCGGCTGACTTCAACCTCCACCTCCAGGGTTCAAGTGGTTCTCCTGCCTCAACCTCCCGAGTGGCTGGGGTTACAGGCACACACCACCACACCTGGCTAATATTTTTTCGGGGTTTCACCATGTTGGTCAGGCTGGTCTTGAACTCCTGACCTCAGGTGATCCACCCGCCTCAGTCTCCCAAAGTGCTGGGATTACAGGCATGAGCCACTGTGCCCAGCCCATCATCCTCATTTTATTATGTATTTATTTATATATTTTTAGATGGAGTCTTGCTTCGTCACCCAGGCTAGAATGCAGTGGTGTGACCTCAGCTCACTGCAACCTCCGCCTCCCAGGTTCAAGCAACTCTCTTGCCTCAGCCTCCCGAGTAGCTCGGATTACAAGTGCCCACCACCACGCCTGGCTAATTTTTGTATTTTTAGTAGAGACCATGTTCTCCACGCTGGTCTCGAACTCCTGACCTCAAGTGATCTGCCTGCCTCCCAAAGTGCTGGGATTACAGGCATGAATCACCGTGCCTGGACAGAGGTTTAAATTATACTAGGTGCTCAGTGACCTCATCCAGCCCACAACGCTCTCCCACCCTTGCCCCCACAACCCCTTTTCCCCTTCCACCCCCTTCCTCACGCAGCCTCTCCCCTGGGGCTCCTCAATCTTGAGGCTGATGGTCCAGTGCCCAGTTTCACTGCTTGTTAAATATTTTGACAATGACCCCTGACAGCAGGAGAGGCAGCCAAACTCAACAGCTGTTCTCTTTCCCCCTCAGGCCTGGCGCTGCTGCTGCCGCCCGTCACCCTGGCAGCCCTGGTGGACAGCTGGCTCCGAGAGGACTGCCCAGGGCTCAACTACGCAGCCTTGGTCAGCGGAGCAGGCCCCTCGCAGGCGGTGCTGTGGGCCAAATCCCCTGGGGTACTGGCAGGGCGGCCTTTCTTTGATGCCATCTTTACCCAACTCAACTGCCAAGTCTCCTGGTTCCTCCCTGAGGGATCGAAGCTGGTGCCGGTGGCCAGGGTGGCCGAGGTCCGGGGCCCTGCCCACTGCCTGCTGCTGGGGGAACGGGTGGCCCTCAACATGCTGGCCCGCTGCAGTGGCATTGCCAGTGCTGCGGCTGCTGCAGTAGAGGCCGCCAGGGGGGCCGGCTGGACCGGGCACGTGGCCGGCACGAGGAAGACCACACCAGGCTTCCGGCTCGTGGAGAAGTATGGGCTGCTGGTGGGCGGGGCCGCCTCGCACCGCTACGACCTGGGAGGGCTGGTGATGGTGAAGGACAACCATGTGGTGGCCGCTGGTGGCGTGGAGAAGGTGCCGGTCCTGCCTGTCTGTGGTCCAACCTCGCCCTCAACACACCCTTCCCCTCCTCAGAGCCCCCAGCCAGGACCTGGTGAACAGCCATGGCCTAGAGTCAGCAATGCAAGACTCTTCCCACCTCGGCTCCTCCTTCTAAGCTGGGCTCAGTAGAGCTCATCCAGTTAAGCTAAATTAAAGGGGAGCTGGGCTTGCTTTGTTTTTCTGGAGACATCGCCTCAGTCTCTTGAGTAGCTGGATCTGCAGGCATGCTCCACCCCACTGGCCATTTTTTCTTTTCTTTTTTTTTGAGATGGAGTCTCACTGTTTTGCGCAGGCTGGAGTGAAGTGAGGCGATCTCGGCTGACTGCAACCCCTGACCCCTGGATTCAAGTGATTCTCCTGCCTCAGTCTCCCAAGTAGCTCGGATTACAGGCACCTGCCACCATGCCCGGCTAATTTTTGTATTTTTTAGTGGAGATGGAGTTTTGCCATGTTGGTCAGACTGGTCTCAAAATCCTGATCTCAGGTGATTCACCTGCCTCAGCCTCTCAAAGTGCTAGGATTACAGGCATGAGCCAGTTTGCTCAGCCGTTTATTTATTTATTTTAGAGATGGAGTCTCACTATGTTCCTCAGGCTGGTCTCAAACTCCTGGACTCAAGCATTCCTCCCACCTTGGCCTCCTAAAGTGCTGGGATTACAGGCGTGAGCCACCGAGCCTGGCTCTGGGGTTGCTTCTTTATCTTTGTTCTGCTGCTGTGTGGTGTGATGTTCAAGAGCAAAGGACAACCCGGGGGAAGCCAGTGTTGCTGCACCACAGCCTTGAGCCCATCCCTCTGACCCTCTGCACCTAATTTCCCATCTGTGACATTTCCTTGAAGACCCCTTCTAACTTTAATATTCTGAGTCAAACTGAACTCAGGTCCAAATGCCTGGCTGATAGTTAGCCACTTTTTGACCCACAGAAGTGGTCATTTTAAACTACAATAAAACAAAACATCCCAGCTGGGCATGGTGGCTCATGCCTGTAATCCAGCAATTTGGGAGGCCCAGGTAGGGGGATTATTTGAGATCAGGAGTTTGAGACCAGTCTGGGCCACATAGCAAGATCCAGTCTCTACAAAAAATGAAAAAAATAGCCATGCTTGTGGGCAAGCACCTGTAGTCCCAGCTACTTGGGAGGCTAAGGTGGGAGGATCACTTGATCCCAGGAGGCGGAGGCTGCAGTGAGCTGTGATTGCACCACTGCACTCCAGCCAGGGTGACAGAGTGAGACCCTGTCTCAAAAACAAAACAAAACAAGAAAACCCCAATGTCTGGTGTCCTTATTAACCCCAAGCTCATGGTCCATCCAGGGCCTTTCAAATGCCAATCCCGGCTCCCCATGCCCTGTGCCAGCCCTGGGCCCCCCTGGCTCCCTGAGCCCCAGTGCCAGGTTCTGGGCCCAGTCCTCACTGTCCTCCTCCTGGCTGCCTGGCAGGCAGTGCGGGCGGCCCGGCAGGCGGCCGACTTCGCCCTGAAGGTGGAGGTGGAATGCAGCAGCCTGCAGGAGGCCACGCGGGCAGCCGAGGCGGGCGCTGACCTCGTCCTGCTGGACAACTTCAAGCCGGAGGTGAGGTGGGCTCTGCCTCTGGGGATGGGGTCTGTGGTGGGCTCTCACCTCCCCTCGGCCTGTGTCCCGCAGGAGCTGCACCCCACGGCTGCTGCGCTGAAGACCCAGTTCCCGAGTGTGGCCGTGGAAGCCAGCGGGGGCATCACCCTGGACAACCTCCCCCAGTTCTGCGGGCCGAATATAGACGTCATCTCCATGGGGATGCTGACCCAGGCGGCCCCTGCCCTCGATTTCTCCCTCAAGCTGTTTGCCGAAGAGGTAGCTCCAGTCCCCAAAACCCGCTGGTCCTAAACCCGAAGAGGATGACACCAGCCAGAGGTTAATGTGGCTCTTTGGGACCCTCTGGGTCACACATTTTTAGGGTGAGTGACCGACAGGGCACACTTGGCACTAGCTTGAGCCCAACTCCAGCTCTGCCACCTGCTGCTCCTGTGACCTGGCAGGGCCTTCACCTCTGCTCACCTCAGTTTCCTAACCTGCAAAATGAGTCTAATAAAAGATCAACTACATGGGGTTTTGAGGTGATAATGAGCACATAGTGAGGGGTCAGCAAATGTCAGAAGTTACCTGGGATAGCTGGTCTCAGTGGCTCACGCCTATAATCCCAGTGCTTTGGGAGGCCGAGGCGGGTGGATCATGAGGTCAGGAGTTCAAGACCAGCCTGGCCAACATGGTGAAACCCTGTCTCTACTAAATATACAAAAATTAGCCGGGTGTGGTGGCGGCACCTGTAATCCCAGCTACTCAGGAGCTGAGGGATGAGAATCACTCGTACCCAGGAGATGGAGGTTGCACTGAGCTGATCGTGCACTCCAGCCTGGGGGACAGAGGGAGACGCTGTCTCCAAAAAAGAAAGAAAGAAGAGAAAGAGAGGAACCCAAGAAGGCAGGAAGGTAGGAAGGAAGGAAAGATGGAAGGAAGAAAAAGAGAAGGAAGAAAAGAAAGAGAAGGAAAGAAAGGAAGAAAGAAAGAGAGAAAGAAAGAAAGGCAGGCAGCTGGCACGGTGGCTCACGCCTGTAATCCCAGCACTTTGGGAGGTTGAGGTGGGAGGATCACCTGCGGTCAGGAGTTTGAGACCAGCCTGGCCAATGTGCCAAAACTCTGTCTCTACTAAAAATACAAAAAAATTAGCCAGGCATGGTGGCAGGTGCCTGTAATCCCAGCTCTGGGGAGACTGAGGCAGGAGAATCGCTTGAACCCAGTAGGCAGAGTTTGCAGTGAGCTGAGATGGTGCCACTGGACTTCCAGTCTGGGTGACAGAGTGAGACTCCATCTCAAAAAAGAAAGAAAAAAAGGCAAAAGCACCAGACAGGCCAAGACCTTCATCCTTCATGCATGCAACCTGTACTGAACACCAGCATGGATAGCCTGGCTTTGAGTGCACAGCAGACGTAGGTTCACTGGGCAGAGATGCTGGGCTGATCTCGATGCTGCCTTTGGTGATGCCCTAAACAAAAGGGGCCAGTCCCACAGAACACAGCTCAGAGGTGAAATCCCATCTCTACTAAAAATACAAAAATTAGCCAGGTGTGGTGGTGGATGCCTACAATCCCAGCTACTTGGGAGGCTGAGGCAGGAGAATCGCTTGAACCTGGGAGGTGGAGGTTGCAGTGAGCCGAGCTTGCGCCACTGCAATCCAACCTAGGCGACAGCTAGACTCTGTCTCGAAACGAAACGAAACGAAACGAAACGAAACAAAACAACACAACACAACAACAACAACAAAAACAGCTCCTCCTGGCCTCCCCACAGCAGGTCTGGCTCCCTCAAATGCATCCTTCTGCAGCAGACTGGATTGAAACTGCAAATAGGCTTATCTGATTTTCCAGCTTGATTTCCAGCTTGCTCCTGGGACAGAGTCCAAATCCTCCGACCTAGCATTTTGTGGTCTGGACCCAGCCCATCTCCTAGCCACCTCCTGATCACAGCTTGAAATCTTACGGGCAAACAACCCGAGCCGCTTCCTACCTCTGGCCCATGCCGTCTCCCCTGCCTAAAAATCCAGTTCCCGGCAAGGAGGGCATGGCTTGCCTTTGCCTGCCCAGGATCATTTCCTGTTCTCCCGGTGATGGAGTGCCCTTCCTGGCTCTCAGATCTGCAGGTTCCTGGAGGGCTAACCCAACTCTGGGTTCAGGGGGAGCTTAAGACTCAGCCAGGCAGGTTGCTTTTGTTTTTTTAATGGAGTGCTGTGGCTGCAACAAGCATTTTCCAGCTGGCCACAGCTCACCACCTGCTTTGTCTTATTCCGGCTCCACCCATTTATTTTATCCGAATGGGTCCTGGAGGCACTAGAATTTGCAGCCCCTGGTACCCACTCCTCCCTCTGGCTCTATTGGACCCCAACGCCTGCCTGGATCCCATGCGTTTTCCCTTCCAGTTCCCAGATCACCTCTGGGCCCGGCTTTCCTGCCTTGAGGTCCAGTGGCGCCCCTGGTCCCATGGGGCTTCAGTTTCCCCAGTTCAGGCATGAGAAGCTGGGGTTCACCTGGGCGTGTCCATGTTTCCCCTGGAGGAAGGACGGATACAGGCAGGGTGGAGATGGGATTAGAGGAGAGTCCCCAGGAGTTCAAGACCAGTCTGACCAACATAGTGAGACTCCATTTCTATTTTAAAAAATTATCCAGCTGTAGTGGTGCACAGCTGTAGTCCCAGCTACTCAGGAGGCTGAGGTGTGAGGATTGCTTAAGCCTGGGCAGCTGAAATATATATACACATATATATATGTATTAGTGGTGGAGCAGTTTGTTTGAAATCTGTCACTCATTCAGTATTTAACTGAGCATCTACTATATGCCAGGCACTATTGTAGACAGTGGACATACAAAGAGTAAACAGATAAAAATCGCTGTCCTTGGGGAGTCTGTATTTTGGGGTGGGGGTGGGGGCGGGGAAGAATAGACAATGAAAAAAATACTTAAGGAAAATATTTAGACACCAACTGTCAACTCCCCTCCCAGCCACCAGAGGGCACTGCAACCACGTGGCCCTCCGTTCCCCTCTGATTCCAGCTCCCTTTCTGGATTCCGAAGACAATGGCCAAGGATTAACACATCTGCTCAAGAATGAACACGGGGGCCGGGCGCGGTGGCTCAAGCCTGTAATCCCAGCACTTTGGGAGGCCGAGGCGGGTGGATCACGAGGTCGAGAGATCGAGACCATCCCAGTCAACATGGTGAAACCCCGTCTCTACTAAAAATGCAAAAAATCAGCTGGGCATGGTGGCGCGTGCCTGTAATCCCAGCTACTCAGGAGGCTGAGGCAGGAGAATTGCCTGAACCCAGGAGGCGGAGGTTGCGGTGAGCCGAGGTTGCGCCATTGCACTCCAGCCTGGGTAACAAGAGCGAAACTCCGTCTCAAAAAAAAAAAAAAAAAAAAAAAAAAAGAATGAACACGGGGAAGCCTTGGCAGCAGTTCTTTTCTCCACCCACTTTTCCAGCCTAATCTCCTCATCAGACCCCCCCCCCATCCAACTGCCCAGGGTACCCCAGTGACTTTTCAAAGCCCCGCGTACTCCAGATTCACCAGAGACACATTCACTCCCAGCCACCCATCCCCTCCCAGATACTCTCTGGGTTACTCACCAGCCCCATCCATCCACTCAGCTGATACCTGAGTGGCAAATAAGGCCTCCTCCTCCTGGCCCACCCACCCACGCCCCTTCCAACTGCTCTCCTGCCCACCTGAAACTCGCCAAATTGTCCCATAGATGGGTTATTTTTTGATAAACACAAAAATTGATGCCCCTGGTCTTAAAGCCTGAAACTTAAATTTGTCTTATCTGAGTTCTTTCCTTAGGAAACTGACCCTCCGGCCTCCCAGACAGCATCAAGGAACTGAAACTCCTTTCCCTTACCCCACTCGAATTCCTGTTTTCCGGCATGCAGCTACATTTGCTCCCCGCTATATAACCCCCCAATTGTAGTTTGTTGGAGAGATGGAGTTGAGACTTATCTCCTGTCACCTTGGCTGATGTCACCCGAATAAAGCCTTCTTCCCTGGCAATACTGATTGTCCCAGGATCCCAGATCCGCTTTCTGTGCGGTCAGCAATGGGGCCTACACTGAACCCCTGGCATTTTGGAAACACACCCACACATCCTATCCATCCCCCACCCATCCTGTCCACCCCCCACCCATCCTGCCCACCCCCATCCATCCTGTCCACCCCCCACCCATCCTGTCCACCCCCTTGTGCTTCCATCCACTCATCCCTCACCCGTCCACCCACCCACCAATGGATGCTATGCTACGAAGCCCAGAACTGGGGCACTTCAACTAGAGGTCAAAGATGGCAAGAAGTCAAAGTAGATTGACAGTCAGTGAGTTGCCTCAGTGGATATGAGTTTCAGTATGCTGAGGCTGTGAACAGTAAAAGCATTTAAAAACAGCAAGGCCGGCCGGGTGCGGGGGTTCACACCTGTAATCCTGCACTTTGGGAGGCTGAGGCAGGTGTGGTCAGGAGTTCAAGATCAGCCTGGCCAACATGGTAAAATCCTGTCTCTACTAAAAATACAAAAGTTGGTAGGGTGTGGTGGCTCATGCCGATAATCCCAGTACTTTGGGGGGCTGAGGTCAGGAGTTCGAGACCAGCCTGACCAACATGGTGAAACCTCATCTCTACTAAAAATACAAAATTAGCCGGGCATGGTGGCACATGTCTGTAATCCCAGCTACTCGGGAGGCTGAGGCAGGATAATCACTTGAACCCAGGAGGCAGAGGTTGCAGTGAGTTGAGATCACACCATTGCACTCCAGCCTAAGCAACAAGATTGAAACTCCATCTCAAAAAAACAAAAATGAAAACAAACCCACAAAAATTAGCCAGGTGTGGTGGCGGGTACCTGTAATCCCAGCTACTCGGGAGGCTGAGACATGAGAATCACTTGAACCCCGGAGGTGGAGGTTGCAGTGAGCTGAGATCACACTATTGCACTGCAGCCTGGGTGACAGAGAGAGACTCTGTCCCCTCAAAAAACCAACCAAATAAAGAAAAAACACAGCAGTGAGACATTCTTAGCAAACCAACCGTATCTGCAAACAATTCAACGTCGGATCTTTAAAAAAATCCCGCTGTGGCATTATGCTGTGGACACATACATTAATTTATGGCTAGTCCTTCAAGACACCCGAGTGGGTGAAATGATATAAATGTTCAGTGCTTCTATGCTTTGTTCCAGTAATTCTCTGAGTAATAGATTGTTTTGCCAATTACTCAGCAATATTTAAGACCTGCTTCCGGAGGCCCTAATAGCTCAGCATTGTGAGACCAAAGTGCTGCCTGTGTGGCTGTGAATAACATCTCTATCCGTCACTGTGCACATCAGATTCAGGCCAGACAACACACACAGGCTTTATTTATTTCAGGTATGCCTTGCGCTTAAGATCATGGGACTCTAGTACAACACCCTCAGAAAATGATCTAGGGCAAAGAAATCATAATACATACCTCTAGTTCAGTGGGTCCTTGGATAACCTCTTTCCTCTCTGCTAGTTCTTCAGCTAAAAGATTCGAGGCCTTAGACAGCAACAAGAAAGTGCTATCCCACAAGCTGCATTATTCTAGATACTTGGATTTTTTCTTTTTTCGAGAGAGAGATGGGGGTCTTGTTATGTTGCACAGGCTGGTCCTGACCTCCTGTCCTTAAGTGATCCTCTTGCCTTGGCCTCCCGAGTAACTGGGATTACAGTCATGAGCCATCGTGCCAGGCTTTTGGATGCTCTTTTTTTTTTTTTTTTTTTTTTTTTGAGACAGAGTCTCTTTTGTTGCCCAGACTTGAGTGCAGTGGTGTGATCTTGGCTCACTGCACTTCTGATTCAAATGATTCTCCTGCCTCAGTCTCCCGACTAGCTGGAATT